AAACACACACTCATAGGCGTACGGGCTATTTTTTGCCAGGGGGGGGCGGTAAACCATTTGCCCAAAAATTTTTTCAAGTTGCCCAAATTTTTACAAAAGAGTCGAACAGAAGCGAGGGCCGATGCAACAACATAGGTCGTACTGGCATAATGGCTCGATACAGTTTTTCAGAGTCAATACCTGCCAAGTTTGAGCATAAACTACGTCGCCATAAACAAACATTTGGAAAAATTGCCACCACAGTTGTATTAAGTAAAGATGAAAATTTGTTGTGATCAGGGTTGCAATGACATCGGAGATGCCATAGCAACGAAATGAAGCCATTACCTATTATACTTGCAGCAATATTTCTCTGTGGAAACTGTTCTTCTAAAATCGATCACAGGAGCTTTTTTCTCCAATAGTCGCCTCGATGTTCGTGAAGTTAAAACGGAATCTGTAAGAGCGTCATCGAGACATTTTGGGATAAAGTTTTTATTGTTGGAAATACGGTACAAAAAAGGAAAATCTTGATGTTTGGCCGTAATCTGTAGAAAACGATGCGCTTTTTACATGCAATTTCACCTCATAGTAGTTTCAATCTTTTTAAAAACGTGGGTGAAAGATCAAGGAGATAGCTCCGGCCAATTGCTACAAAGAAGGATTTGATTAGTATGTATCATGGCGCTCTTGTTAGCGGTTTTGTAAACATTTCAGTCTACTTTAACAAATTAGTGAATAATTTTAAACCGCCTGATCGGTTTTTTTAAAAAAAAATTAAGATTCTTCTCGCAATTCAAACTGAGAATTAGTCAGCCACTTCTTCACTTTCAGACCCATTGCTGATGCTATCTGCCATACACTGTTCTACGAGCGGAGATGATTCTAGAATTAAAAAGTTAGGCAGAAGTTTATTCTAATAACTAGTTCACGACTGGAAATAGCCCATTGCAGTACAGTGCCCAACAATGAAAAAACTCAGCATATGATACCCTTCCCTTATAACCAGAAACTCATCACGTGCTAGGCAGCCACTCGCTGTCTCGTGTCAGTGTAATTTGATTATTAGGCCGACTTCAGGTTAGAATAGAAAATATTTATCTCTTCAAAATAATAATAAAAACATGGAGACGTCGTTAAAAACTGGCTTTGCCCAAATTTTCTTGTGATGCCCAAAAAATCTGAGTTGCTCAAAATTTGGGGGGGCTGCAGCCCCCCTCGCCCCCCCGGCCCGTACGCCTATGCACACACTCAATCCGAAACTACCTGATTCTCTCAAATGGAGACCCAGTAAAACGTCAGCTTCCCCCGACCATGCAATACCCAAAACAATTAAAAGAGGCCAATCTACCCTATTTTGAGGAACATCCCGCGCGCAGGTCGACCTAGCCGAAGCAGCACCAGTAGCCTGTTCGGAATCTTGACCTGTCATAGGCTTTTTACCGTTTTTCTCCGCGGCTCTTCATTTGTCCTCATTCTCTAGGACAGTTGGTGTGCGTGTCCTCTCACGATAGCTCGCGCCTTCCACGCAGCTGCAAGGCGAGAAAGACTGGAACCAAAACGGCGAAACAACATGGCTTGCATGACCTTCATGCGAGGTTTCAGACGTGTTAACTCTGTTAACTCGTTAACGTACACCATAGCAAGCCTTCCTAGACGCCACTTCTGTTCTGCAGAAAGTAACGACGAAGATCAATCGTACAAAAACGCCCGAGACATTGAAGAAAATTCTCTTCCTCAAGGAAGAAACCTCGAATTGGTTGTGTCATGTTTACGAGTGGATAGAGTGATTGCGAGTGGCCTCGGAATGGGTAGAAGGTTTGTGTTACAATGATCTGGATTCGCAAGACTTTGGGCTAAATATCCAGCCATTTGGGGAGGCCCTATTTGCGTCCTCGGACCCATGAAGATTTTTACAAAATATAATTAAGTAATTTAAAAATGGGCAGTACTACTGAAGACATGTTACCCTGCTGCCCTTGCACTGACGTCACTTTTCAAACCAGATACATTTCCTGTTACTGTATTCATGATACCTTTTCTGGTTTGGTGATACCGTGTTCTTAATCAAAACTCCCGATGTTTTACTTGTATCTTGAAGAGTTGGAATGCTTTTAATATGAGAGTATCACACACACCCCTGTCCCTCCCACCCTCCACCCAAATCTTCACATTCCTCATCCTCTCGCCCTTTAGGAGCAAATCCACAAAAAAGGTAAGGGTGCTGGCTATACAGTGACTAGCCTGTTCCAGGCGTTCCGATCATAAGGACAGTACAAAGAGAATGAACGCCTGAAACAGGCTATACAGAAAATTGTCAAATGACTTTTACTTGTACGCATTTGTGGAAAACTCTTAATGGGTTTCATGGCAATAAATTGGCTCAGAAACCACATTAGTGAAGAAGAAACACACAACTTAAGCAAGGTTAGCTGATTTTATTTAAATCCTTTCACATGCGTAGGTTACAGAAACTGCAATCATATATTTTATCATATAATTCATTACAATTTAAACGTTACACAACAGTGCCAGTGGTTTCATATTTTGAGCTTGGGCTACCTCTGGTTTTCTAGCTCTATTTAATCTCTAGCCTCTTCTATCATGTAACCCCCCCCCTCCCCCCTCCTCCCTTCCCATTAACTTTTTCATTTGCTTTGATTGTTTATTTGATACTTTGTGATGTTAACTTTCTAAGTAATTGGTTTTGCAGGAAAGCAAGTGACTATATTGCTGCCAGAAAATTATTTGTAAACAAGGAGAACTGTAAAAAAGCATTTTTGGAGGTAAGCTGTTATGATCATTTTTTACCTTTAGCACTGTTAAAGTAGTGCCTTGCATTCATTCAAGTGGTTGCCTTTCAGAAGTAAAAGCTATATAATTAATCAAACAATCAAAGTTTATTAGAAGAAGCTGGTACAGTTGAACCTTTCCACAATGGCCACCTCTCTACAACAGCCACTATATTTGGTGGATACCATCCACTGACTCTTGTTTAAACCCCCGGGGTACTCCCATACATTACCTATACGGGTATGTGCCGCCCAAAGGGGTCATGATTTTGAAGCTCCTGGTTTAGAACGGGGTATCCATTTCAGACGCGGTTTCTAGAATGGGGTATAATATTTCGAACACACGAAAGCTCTCCACTTTTGTAAGTAGCCATTTGAAAGCATTCAAGGACAGATTGCTTTTAAAATACGGTTCAGTGCGTTAGGAAGCAAACAGTTGTACTCTTGTTCCACCCTAGAACGGAGAATAAAAAATTGGCCCATTTCTAGAACGGGGTGTTAGTTTTAGGGCTAATTCGAGAACGGGGTATAAAAAATTGGCCTATTTCTAGAACGGGGTATCAATTTTAGGGGAAATTTTTTCTAGAACGGGGTGCCAATTTGGAGTCCCGGACGGCACATACCCACCCAAAAAATACCCAAGTGCCCCCCCCGGGTTTAAACCTCTCTACAATGGCCGCTTTCTTCCTTCCCATGGAGGCCATTGTGCAGAGGTTCAACTATATCCTTAAACTGAGGAAACTTACCCAGTTTATTTCATTGTTTTAGGTTAAAGAAGGTGATGAAATAGATCTTGCCTTATCTAAAGAAAGTGATGAAGTTGAACTGTCCCGGTTCAGGGTTTTGGCAATTGACAAAAATCAAACAAAGAAAAACAAACGGCGTCTGAGTGGCACAAGATTTTCAAGGATTTTAATGCCAAGAAAAGAATTTGATGAACATTATACTCAATCTGGTGAAGGATGATTGTCACTTCTGCACACTGGGAATAACAATTATTATGATGAATTAAATACCAAACAAATAACCGTGAGGAGACTATGGAACTGTTAAAACCTTCAACAAATTCCAGTGGCTGATCATGGGGAAGTCCTGATTTGCTGCTCACACTTCCTTGGGATGACTAAACAGGTCCCTAATTTACACATGAACAATCCAGTCTCGCCACGCCAACTATTGTTCTCAGCTGACCAAAATTAAGAGACTTTCAGTAATCTACATGTACATGTAGCTAGAAGCCTGAGAAAACATTACACCATCAAGCGAAGTCTTATAAAGTAAGCTTATATGGCAAAATCATCTCTTAAAGAATGTCAGGGCTAGCTCAGGCCTTGTTAAAACTTGAATTACTTAATATTTGTCCTTGAGACCAGCTAAGTAGCTGTAAAATAGTGCTTTCCCAGGGGCTTTAATTGTGTCCTCATCAAAGTTTATGATTTAGTTAGTAGATGACTAGCTTTGGCCCTTGTCTATATATTGGGTAGGTAAAAATGCACAACTATGTCCAGCACAACTGCAAGTTGAAACTTTTATCAGTCCTTATTATTTCTCAGACAGTAGCCTCCAGCTGAGTGAAAACCTTAAGAAATGGTCATGTGGATTTAAGTAAACAGTGGAGGCGTGTGTGGCTGAGCAGTTAACACCTTGAACTCCAGATCTGGTACTCTGGGGTTTATAAAGCCTCCCCTGTGGATTGTTTCCTTAGACAAGTAACTTTCCTCCACTTTGTCTCTCTTCACCCAGGTGTATAAATGGGTACTGGTGACATACTGCTGGGGTTAACCCTGCAAAGGACTAGTATCCCATCCATGGGGGAGTAGCAATGTTCTTAGGCATGCTTCATGCTAAGGAAACTGGGATGAGCTATGGCTGTTTTGGCCTTTACCTTTTACCTCTTAGTAAACAAGACTTGAGCAAACAATTTTGTAGGATTATACCAGTGGCCTTCACCATCACAAGTTTTAGACTTTATAGACTGTAAGCAGAAGTTCGATTTTTCCTCAGATTAGTATGCACACAAGTTGATTTATAATAATTTATAATGCAAAATAATAATTGTTACAGCTTGTAGTTTTAATACTTACCTAACACTAGCTTTGCCTCAATTTTCTCACTTCAAGAAAGAGGGCAGGAGAGGAAAGCCTGCTCACAGTCTTGATTTTTAAGAGTATTTAACCTGATTTATTATATGACCCGCAGAACTCCGTGCGCAATTTCATTGGAAAATCATATGAAATTAAGTCTTGTATGTGGGACGTACGCGTCATGTCATAAGGCTGGAAAAACGCGTCTAGCCCTGCTAGAAAAGTATGTTATTAATAAACCCCCGGATAAAAATCCATATTTGTACAAAAAAGACATGTAATCATAGATTTACATTGATGTGTTCTGTTACAAGACATTCCATTTTACACAGTGAGGTGCATCCTGAACTAATTACAATACATTAAAATTTACTTTAAAATTAACTTATATAAAAGAGATTTGTTCAGTTTCACACCTCACACATAGAAATAGAACTCTTCAAGACCAACCAATTAACTTTTTGGGGGTGAATTAGTTTGGGAAAGAATTTTATCCAAGTCAACTACTTAGATCACCCATCTCACCTCAAAAGTTAAATGGTCAGCCCCTTTGTTTAGCTTGTTTGTTTTTTCCCATGTTCGTAACTAAGGGCATTTTGTACATTGTCTTTACATACATTATGCAAACTTGTGTATGTGGACAGGAAGAAATTGGAAGAAAACATTTCTCTAAAGAAACATCATGAGGAGTGAAATGGGATAACCAACAAACATGCTAAAGAGCTCCATTAGTCAGGTTACATAATTATAAACAGAAATATTAGGCAAACATAACAAAAATCAGATTCAAGTTGACATTTGCTCAAATTTCCGAAATGAGCAAACTATCAACTGTGCAAAATAATCCTTAAATAAATAATAATTATGGATCAACCTGGAATAAAATTAGGAATTTGTGTGTTGATGTAAGAAGCAGTCAGGGTTTTCATTAAGAATTCTAGTAATGAGAGAAGGGTTTCAGGTTATCGGAGAATATTTTGAAAGGGGCTCTGTGTCTGAATTAAAACTAGTCATAGACTACTGAACATTAGCCGGAGAATTCTGCTAAGTAAACAGAGAATTCTCCAATCTCCGATGCCCAATGAACACTCTGAACAGTATAATAATGGTAGTAGAAAGAAAGCTTTGTCATGTTGTACAATGTGAATCAGAATCTTCAATAGCATTTTTGGGAATTTCAAAGTAGCATTCATGAAGACAAAACAAGGAAAAGCACTTTGAAAAGGAAGAGTAAATGTGGATATAGAGTATCTTCAATTATCGAAAAGCCAGACATACATCATCCACCATTATCATTCCAGCATTTACCAACTTGGAAGCTGTTAATCTTTGGTCTAAAATTTCTCAATCTGAAAACTTCAATTAATCCATTACAATGAGACACTTTGCAATGTCTTGCCACAAAACGTGTTATTGAAACTTTTTAGAAGACCTGCCAAGGGAAGGCCCACTGAGTACACAATTTTTTTTAAAATAATCAACTCTGAGAAATTAGATTTGATACACAATTATTAATTTTATCCTTTCTATGAAAATTAATTTGGGTTGTTTGTTTTTCTTACAACTACTATGTGCAATCACAAAAAATCTACATTGAAAATTGGCAGATATAAACAAATTATAGTATTTATTTAGGTTAGAATTGTAACAATACTACAGAGCTTGACACTTAAGATCAAACTTATCATAATTTTATATGAAAGTATTTTACAGTAATTAATTCATGTGTGCATCTAATTAATGTTAAAAGTACCTTAGTTAATTTTGACATTTGGAAGTAAGTTTCTTGATTGAATATCACAAAATATTGTGGTAGTGTTTTGGTTGTATAGTAGTAGCCATAGGGTATAAAAAACAGGAACCACAGAGCCTTTTTAGACAATATAATAATAACAGCCTTTAGACAATAGGTAATAATTATTATTACATAATTATTGTCTAAAAAGGCTGTTATGTTTTTAGCTTTAAGCTTATATTATTATATAAACACCAATGAAATACCAGGTGAGCTTTACATGGCCACTTGCAGATACCAAATTTCTCTTCTCGTGTTGAAAATATTTCACTCGTTCGCTGCGCTCACTCGTGAAATATTTTTCAACACTCGAAGAGAAATTTCGTATCTCCGAGCGGCCATGTAATATCCTCTATTTAAGTACAAAATTAATAAGACTGAAATACCTGTGGTTACACTAGCCATATTACCTTTGGGTACAATAATGCCCATACCAGGGTCCGAAATTGTGCCTTCCTGGTCGCCAATGCGACTAAAAATTTAGTCCTAGCAACCAGAATTTCATAGCTGGTCGCCAGCTAGCAACTTGTAAAGCTGGTTGTTATTGTGGACTTTAACGTTCGGAGAAATTGATCAAGAATTGAAACCTCGCAGCTATTTGCCAACAGGTGTCTTACTTTTTGTCCTGCTGATATTTTTTAATTAAAAGTGAAATGAATCTTCCTGTAATAATACCTCCACAACAGCTACGATCAATACGAGTTGAACGTTTCCAAGCCGCCATGTTGTTCGGTAAGTACGTTATGTACTTTGTGTACTGGTACGAGTGATCAGTGCAGTCATGGGCAGACAGCTTTCTGTTCCTACGTTCTAAGTCAGACAGCTTTATATCTCCAAAAAGTAATTTGCGGGAAAAAAAAGACTTCTCTCGTACACGTACGGTTGCTTTCTGATATCGGGAGTGGAAGAAGTGCAATTTTCGATCATAAAAACGTCCATACCATGCATTTTTTATTCGTGTTTAAACTATTATTGGGAAAAAAGGGAGGGGGAATTTTTTGGTGACCACAATTTGCCCTCTGGCGACCAAAAATTTATACTTGATTGCCAGTTGGCGCCCGTATTAACAATCTAATTTCGGACCCTGCATACAGCATGGCTGTCACTTATGGCCGGGGATTGCGGATTTGCCCCTGCTACATGTATGATGAACATGACCCCTGGATACTTTAATATGACACCAAAACGAAAATAGAACCAATAGAACTTCCTAGCTGTTCATTTCCCCACCTAATAATTGCATACACCCAGCATCATGAAAGCTTAGTGACAGCCCAGCCCCTGTGGGCAGGGAAGCAGTGTTATTTGTACATGTAGCCGATCTTCCCAGAGTGACAATTAACTCCAAAAAAATTCCATGGATACAAAAACAGAGAAAAGGAATTGCCCTTGTCAGTTTCATCTGTAACATCTTTGGATTTTCAAAATGCCAAAGGAATCAACCCCTGGGTATAAGTCTACTACACCTAATATTATAATTATTATTGTTCTAGTCGTGCACTTGGAAATGTCCAAACTGACTTGAACTTAATTTTAAAAGATGTCCTAACTATCTTGACTGAACTGGCTGCATTTTGCCAATTACTGGTAATGGGTGAGCTTCAGTGTTGAAGACCCAGTGATCTAAAGGAATAAGAGTGTCATCAGAGAATATCAAATACAAGTATTTTAAAGTTTCTGCTAGGAAGAAACTTTGTTGGACATCATCATGTGACACAGGAACCTGAGAAACATCACGTATTCCACAGTATCCTGCCTCCACCCGGCAAAACTTTTCAATGTTCTGAAAAAAAAAGTCATCAAACATCAAAAACCCTGCTTGGTCCTTTCCTAAAGTAGTATAATATTTCTTGAAAGTTCAGTTTTATTTGAGTAATTTTAATGTTGTTTATTGCCTACTGCCTAGCTAATTATGACCATCAATGGCCACGACTAGCTTGTGCTATTGGTAATAACTTAGACTAAACCACTCACCCACTGCTCGGAAGGGGAAGTTATAGAAGAGGGGCGGGGAATTTTCGTTAACATTATTTTCCCTTGTATGAACTTTTTTTAGGCTGGGGCATAAATACTTTTAAAGATAACGTAGTGTGCATGAATTTTTTTCCTTTAATTGTCCCTTGCCCAAATTGTTTTGTACGTCACGCCCCCACCCACCCCTCCCCTGCAACTAAGTTTTCTAATAGACTGTCCTTAAATAGCCAATGCTAAATGCTTCTTTCTAGTTGGGTTTCTTATTGTCTTTTGTATTATTATTCTGTATGGTAAAATTCTTCGAGTAGAAAGCCCATAAACTAGCCAGAAGCAAGCACTAGCAAAGCGTTTTTTTTTATTTTCTTTTTTATATTATTTTTTATAATCTTGATCTTCCTATCTTCTGCAACATCCTTCATTCTACTAACCTGTGCTGCTTCCCAGGCCCATTCCCGATATTTGGGCTCATGCGTATAGCGCCACATGTAGAAATATGCCTCAATAACTTCAGGTCGAAGAATGTAGTACCTTTCATTACTACGCAGGCCTACTGCTTCATGAGGTCCTTCAAATCTAAATGCCTCTGGGCCAATTCCAGTTGCTGTAATAATAGGAAAATAACAAAGAATAACTTGGGGTGATCTTTGAATAACAGTGAAATAATAATATCCTTACAGAGAAACTAAGAAGCAAACTGAAAAAAAATGCAAACTGATCATTGGTGCAACAACTCTTGCCAGCCCTTATACTTATTTTAATACTCCTTTCAACCCCTACATCTAGGGTTTTGAGGTATAACTTTATAATGTGGCTGTAATGTTTTCAGGCTCTACAAGTCATGATTGCACTAAACAATCTGTAAGAGTTTTACGTAGTTGCCTCTTATCTGAATGACACACTATTGTTTGTTTCTCAATATTAATTTGATTACTTGTCCTTCGGTAAGATTCGTGGCAGGTGTTGGCAATCTCTGCTCCAAGGTTGACGAAATGCTTCTCATTTTTAGAACCTTTTGATCCAAGAGCAAACATCCCAGCAGTGAAACAGGCCTGAAAGTAAAAGCATTTATAAGCACACCTGTTAACATACTGTAAACTGCCACTTATATAATAATCCTTGGGCTTATACTGTATGTTTGTAAGGGGTTTTATGGGAGGATTCATAAACAGAAGGGCTAATATCTGAGGGGGCCTACTGTATAACTGGAACAGTGCTATTAGCAAGGCTAATAAAAAAATTAATACATTTTTTATTTACTGAGTGTCAAAACCTCATAATAAAACAAGTTTCAATACATTTAGAGGGAGCTCATATCCAGGGGAGCTTATAATAGGTAGCCTGTGTAAAGACCCCCCTCCCCTCAGCAAAAATCGGAGAAGAGGCCCTTTAAGCCCATACTCCAATTTTTCCTGAGGGGAGGGGGTTTTGTACACAGGCTTATAATCAGACGTATTTTTTGCTTACAGGTAGATAGGCCTTTAACTTGGGGGATTTATAGGTGGCAGAGGGCTTAAAAGCAGCAGTTTATGGTAACACCCAGGAACTAAAAATAACTGATGACATGGCGTTGCCTTTAAAATTATTTTGTTTTGACCTCTGCAATGGTTCTTGACTTGTCTTTCCCAGATGAGGATAATAAAACCAAAAGCACCATCTCAGAGCACTTTCACTTTTCCATTTTTGTATTAGTTTAGCTTTTAAATGCATTTTAATTGCTATATTTTAGCTTTTTTAAACACTTTTTTAATCTTGTTGTATTTTTAACTTTTAGTGTATTTTTAGTTACTGTAATTTAGGCTAGTTTTATATAGATATTTTTTTATTTTATTTATTTATTTATTTATTTTCCAGGGCCCTCATTGATAGCAGCATTTTATGCTGAAGAGATAACCCTGGCTAAATAGCATTTATTATTATTATTATTATTGAGTGACGTAACAGAACTCAAACTGCTATTCTTAAAAAGTAGGGGAAATGGACCCTGATAGTTTGGTCAACCTTAGAAACAAGTGCATCTGGCGTGTACTGCTGTAGCTGGTCCACGTGAACTTTCACGCTGCCATATATTATTGTTTACAACCTTAATCAACATTGATGACCATAGAAAACCCTTTACAGCAAGGAACCCGAAAGTGTAACCTCACATTCTTTCATGCAGACATTAACTAATCAGAGGTCGAGGGCAGTTTCCAGCTGGCTTCTGATTGGATTAAATTTGTATGAAAGAATGGGAATAAATCAAAAGCCATCATACTTTTAGGCTCTTTGCTGTAACTCCTATCAAACAATGTCATGGTGTTATTATCTATCATTCTAACTTCTAGATCTGTGGACCAAGATCTTACTGTGTTACAGTTGAAAAGAGATTTCTTTGGTACAACTTTTGCACTGTACTATTAATAATTCTTTTCCGTTGGACTTATCGAAGATATGTAGACTTTATGTGAAGTTTTTCATTGACTGCTGGTAGTACACTGAAAGGGTTAACATTAGTTTGATAATAATTATTATTAATGTTTTTTAATTGGTAAAACCAAAAGGAGTAACACTACAGTTTTCTTTCTCAGTTTCTAGACAGTGGCACAAATTTATAATCAAAACATCAGCTTACCAAGTGGTCCATTTTGTGCTCCAACCTTCCATATTTGTACTCTGCGATGTACGTAAGATTGGATGCTGAAGATTTTCTGACCAGCATTCTTTCTATAGCCTTTAAGGACAATCCACAATTATTATTAACAGCTAGTAACTGCTAGTAATGATTCATTGTAATAAAATAAATGTATTTTCTTACAATAATTAATACCGCATAATTCTGTGTATGTCGTTCCATAATCAGAACTTAAGACTAAGAAGACAACAGTGTGACAATGATTTTAATTTATTTTATCAGTTGGGTCTATTAACATCATCGTATCTTTCCTTTTGGCATATCTCTGACTAGCTTGACATCTTTATCTGCTACAGCTGTAAGTCAAGCTTACAATTATTTTATTTAAAAAAATTAAATGAAATTAGACTAAAGTAAATGTTATAGATTTTCTCTTTCCTACAAGAGTGAAGTGTCATTCTCTTTGCCTTTAAATTTTTCATAATTTATCATTCTTTTAGTAAGAACACTCTGCACATTAATAATGGACCTCTTTACTTTGGTAACTAGAACTTGTAAATACAAACCTCCACTGCTTTATCATACATCCTCCTGGCCACATTATCTGTTTCTCCACTCATTACCCAGGATTTGATCAAGTACTCATAAAAACTATCCCCAAGAGCACCCAAAGAGACATGTTCTGTTAAGAAAGCAAGAGCTTGATTACAATCCATTACTTACAATCCATTGCTGCAGGGTGACACCATTAAAAGCATAAGTAGATGGTTCCCAGAACTTGGGATACACACTATTAAACAGTACTGCAGTAGTCAGCACATTGCAAAAACAATGAACTGATACATACACAGTTTAGATTCATGTCTAATTTTGAAAAAACAAAAACCAGCATCCCATTGAAGTGTCCTCCAAGATCTGATCTTCAATATGCCAGTACAGAACTTTATGCCTGTAAGTGTAGTGATTACATGTACTAGACCATCACCATTAATTTTGTATGACATGTTTCCAAACAATTTTATTTTCTTTGAATGACAGTTTTTTGGCAAAAAGAGAACACTTATTTCCCCAGGAGCTGTCTCTCAACCAATGGCATGATTTCATGGGCCTCTTGGGCAGGCCCTCCCTATCCCCTTAGGTGTCTCCCTTTAAGGTCTCGGTAAAGGAAAATGAGGTGCCCACAGAAAAAAATTCGAGTCGCGCGAGTATTTTCACTACAAAGGCAAGTTATATATCAAATTAAAGCTAAAAGACTAAATTACCTTATAAAAGATTTTATTTCATTGAATTTCAAAAGGCGCTTAAGTTGTTTGCTCTCGAACTCAGAGGTATCGAGTTTACTGCTGAAGCTCCAGCCCTTTCGGGTTGTTAAAATTAATGTTCACTTCCTTTTTATTGCACCTGATTGACAGATAAAAGGCCTAAAAAAGGGTGTGAGGAATTTTCCTATTTCCCTTTGTAACTCATTTTATGTCAGTTTCTTTGCGTAAATCGCGCTCGAGATTCGACTTTTTAGTTTGAAATGTAATAATTCTGCTAATACAAGACATATGCAAATTTCCTCACAAAAAATGGGCAAAAAAAATATGGCGGGAAAAAATTCGCGTACGTGCACATTTGGGGAAAAAATTTTAAAAATTTCATAATTTCTTCAAATTTTAGTTTGAAATTGCTTTGAACAGTTATTTAGACAAATTTCCTACCTGAATTAGTTTACATTTGCCTAAGGAAGCATTAAACGCTTTTCGCAAAATACAATTTACAATCGGACCAAACTCTTGAAATACCCTGTAGTAACAAGCTAAGTGTCCCTGTTGACAGGCAGCAGATTTGAGTGTATACTGAGAGAAAGTCATTTTGAATTACAGTGTACATTGTAACTTTTCTGAGACTGTCAGATCCATTTCAAGTTCTCAATAAATAGTAAAAATCAACTTACGTGAACCCCAGACTCCACTCCTTGGGTTTAAATAGTTGGGGTACAATCCATTAGGTTTGTCAATCTGATCTAGAACTTCACGGACCCTGAATACCTAATAAAAACACCAGTCAAGAATGAAAACTCCACTCAACTCTTCATACTTGATGGATCTGTACATGCAATGCTTTTGTGTGTTATACAGGGTTGTTACTAAGATTTCAAGTTGCCGGGTAAATACAACAAGTAGGCGGGGAATCAAACAGCTACGGATTTCTTTTGGTTCTATTTTTGTTCTATTTTCCAACAAAAGTAGCCAGGGGCCACTCTCTTAGTAGCCGGGGAAAATCTCCGGCCCCCGGCTCTTAATGACAACCCTGGTTATACCTGTCCATGAAACATCTCATAAGTGACTTGACCTTTCTTGTATTAACACAAGCCTAACATCTGCCCTAATAATTGTGTGTTAAGCAGGGTTCCTAGTAGCAGGAGAAAGGTGTAACTTAACGGGAGAATGTTTTGAAAGAGGTTCCATGTCTGAATAAAGAAATAGTCATAAGATACAGTACCAAACATTAGTCGCAGAATTCTGCGTAGTAAAAATGGAGAATTTTCATATATCAGATGCCTAATGAACACCCTGGTTAACGACAAAAATCTCACCTTTTTTGCGTAAATTGGATCTCCTGTGATCTTTGATAAATACACAAACTCCAAGTGCAATGTGCCAAATTCAGCGAGAATGGAACAACCACCAGATGCCCAGCCCCAGTTATGTCCACTGCCACTGCAGATAAAAGATTGAATGTTACAAATCAATTTGAACTGCTGTTTACTAGTAATTTTTATTTTGAGATGTTTGTTTTGAAATGACATTACAGTTGAGAAAAACAGAACAGGTCTACTGTTGTAAAGTTTGCTCATTAAATGCAGCAAATGGTAATAAATACGTTTTCTGTGAATTTATAACAACAACAAGGACAACAACAACAACATCTGTGTTGTACTGTAACTTGAGCAACTAAAGAATCAAAGAAAGACTATCGTCAACTCGTGGGTACGTTGTTTAGAAAATAATCAATTAGTTATCACCTCTGGTTTCCCACAGTAAATTTTAGGAAATGATAGAAATTCAGGTTATAAATATACTATCCTTGTTCTGGAAACACAATACCTTTCTTGCTGTTTATTGCACTTTATTATTAAACAGTTATTTCGGTATATATTTAAAAACAAAAACAACAAAAAAAAAACAGCAAAACAAATAAGCAAACAAAACAAAACAAAAAAGACAAAAAAGGAAGAAGGGAAAAGGAAGGTCGTTAGCAGAATTTGAACCAGGTGCCTCCGAGTTAACCTGACCTCACATAGTCACTACGCCATTGAGGATGATCACATGATTTTGTGAAAAGTCTCAAATTTAATGCATTTTCCATGGAACTTCCGCCGGCAAACGATCGAGCCATAAAAAACGAAAAAACGACTCGAAGGAATCGGATGAAATTAAGGCTAATTGAAACCTCGCTACCGTCAGTAAAAAACAATGTAAACGCATTTCATGGCAATGAAACAGGGTTGTCATTAAGAGCCGGGGGCCGGGGATTTTCCCCGGAAACTAAGAGAGTGGCTCCCGGCTACTTTTTTCGAAAAACAGAAGAAAAATAGAACCAAAAGAAATCCCTAGCCGTTTGATTCCCCGCCTACTTGTTGTATTTACCCGGCAACTTGAAATCTTAGTGACAACCCTGAATGAAAGAACATATGCGATACAAACCCGACACAACTCCTCGCGAGGTAGGACGCAAAACATAAGCTTATGTTTTCTTATCTCGATTTCCGCTGTCATTTTAAAGCTAATGCTCAAAATCACATCCATTTCCCCCCGTGACCTTGGGGAGTACTTAAGAAGAAGAAGAAGAAGTGCCTTTATTTACCATACATTCATTCATACACATAACCTACTACATTACTACAAAGTAGGAGATCAAGCCAGCGTCGAAGTTGAAGGAGTCGAAGAGCAAATGCTCATCTTCTCGTCAAGTTTACCGCCTGGACGAGTCAAAGGTTCTTGAATCGTACTAATCTGAAAGATTCCTGCGTGTCTTAAATTTGGTAAGACCTCTATCCTCTAACCATGCTCTAGCGCACGATGCACGCATTTGATGCTACCGAACTTCGGCAAGTGCGTGCTTCTTTGGAAACGATAGATCTTCGCGCTCTCGAGTTCAGACCCAATTAATTACGAAGTGCGTCTACTACGAGTGAGCGAGGGACTCATTTGCATATCCCTGTCCCTGCAATAACTCATGGTACGCTCGTGCGTACCCACGAGTTACAAATTAATACATACTGTAGAACCCCTAAGATTTTGGGTGTGAAAAATAGTATACAAATGATTTCAGAAAATCTTTGTTTCCCTTAACCTTTAAAGAGCATCTACTAAGATGTTTGGGAAAACAATAAGAAAAACCTAATATATTTTAATAAGTAGTTTCTTAGAAATTGATTTTGAGATAAATATTAGCGATAAAAAATCACGACGTGTCGACCTCTCCGAGGTCATTTTCAAGTGTATAAAAGTTCTCTAAATTAGCATAAATAAGTTAAAAACAAGTTATGATAGATAAAAATGTGGTGAACGCTAAAATGTGATAAAATATGTTAAAACGTAAAAAGTGCTAAAAATATTTGTAAAGTCAAAAAACAACGGAAATAAAACAATGTTAACAAGAACTACTCTAAACAAATAATTTGGCGCGAATTGAATCGCACTGTTTGTTAAGCATCAGTTTCAGTTCTCGGATAAAAAACATTTCAAAAATAAGGTAGTCAAATTTGTTCTGACACTTTCTTAAGATTCTAAAACTTTGTTCGATGTCTTCAGGCTTCATATCATGCTGCTCTCTGAGGTGGTTTCCGATTGCCAATCCTTTGTGTTCTTCAACACTTTAAAATGACCTCGGAGAGGTCTAAACGTCTTGATTTTTTATCGCTAATAGATTTTTAAAGTGTAAAGTTGTCTTAGGATGATGAAAGGTGCCCCTGTCTTATGAATTATTCTACAGTGAAACTCCCCCCTACGGAAACCAAATTAATATGGACACCGGCATTACAATGGACATTCAGCTTCAGTTGTCCTGATGAAAAGCTTAAACATTACCTAAACATGTGTATTTTCTCTCATATTAACCCCCTAATTAGTATTATGGACACTGGTTAATACAGAGAACGGACACAGCCACTTTTCTGTGTCCCGAGGTGCAAACCCTCAAATTGTCCACTCTGCTTCACAGACACTGGTTATCTACACACTGTCTCTTTCCCTTGTCACAGTTACGTATCTACAATTATTATTGTAGACAATGTACCATGTTCCAATAATGACAGATTTCAAAGAGTTTAATAATACAGTAGCAAAATACAGCTGTAGTTCAACATTGTTTCCCTGTGTTTGACCCTTGTACTGTAGCCTCATCAAACATTTTTTGTCTTCTACTACACAACTTTCACTTTGTTGGCTTTTTGCTGCAGTCATTCGACCTACACCTCTTCTATGTCTTTTTAAGTCTCAATGTCAATACAGCATGAGTCTGGGACACTTTTTAAGTGAGCCAGCTTAATAGGAACACCCGGATAATAAATGGACACTATGGCATGTTCCTTTGGTGTCCATGTTAATAGGGTTCCCCTGTACTTAAAATACAAACCTGGCAAAATTAACCATTGCCCATGGTATTCCTGTCGGTGTGTTAAATGCAGCCAGGAGTTTGTCGCCAACTTCTTTAGCTTTCACTTTGAAAACCTGTAAAACAAGTTCAGTGTAAATAACATATTATGATATTAATTATGATATAAAACTAGCCAAAATATAAACTTGTACAGGTTACTGCAAGTTATCACTGATAGAACCCCACATATAAAACCCCTGGGCTTTTTTCTGAGAGTTTTATCACATAGGCTTAAATCAACAATAGATGAGCCTGAGAGCTGGTGCCCGAAAGATTGGTAGAGCCATCCAGGCAGCTGTCGGGCATGGAGGAGGTACACTGTATCTGTTACAGGTCAAAATTAAATTTAGGTTAAAATTTTTTAACCAAGGTTGATTCCCAGTTTCCTTTGTCTCCAATTAGCTAACCCTAATTATTCATGAATTAGGGATAGGAGACAAAGGAAACTGAGAATCAACCTGGGTTAAGAAACATCAACCTGAATACAATTTTGACCTGTAACATATCCATGGCAGACCATCACAATGAACCAGTCAAGGGGATACTAACCAAAATTTGACACATACCAGAGAGGGGAGAGGGAGAGAGGTTGATAATTATACTAACAGCAAGAATTAAGACGGAATCCATTAGGAAATTGAGTAATTTCAATTTTCAGTGGACAAAAATCTTGTACCAGAATAATTTAAACAGTATCGCATTCTTTGTAACATTTTTCAAGGGCCATAGATATAATTAGTTATCTGTAATAACATCAAAGACTATTTCTCATGGGAGCCTGGGAAAATAAATGTCAAATTTCACCAGAATTGTGAAAACACAGGTAAAATTCTGACACTTTCATGTATAAGGTGTCATTTTGTGAAATTTATCAGGCTCTCATAAGAAATTTTGGTGTTATTACAGATACCGTATTTATTCGATTAACCGCCCTGGGCGCTTATTCAATTTTTGGACCTTGAGAGTGGGCGCTTATTCAAGGTGGGCATTTATTCGAGGGTGGGCACTTATTAAATTTTCAACATTTTCAGCAGGTGTAGTATGTGTATTTTGCAACAAAACAATAAATGGTAATAACAAAACGCCAAGATGTAACAAAGCAAAGTTCCTGTAAAATACTTTGAAGAAAACTCCGTCCTTGGGGAAGTCTCTTATTAGTACTTATTCAGTTTTAGGGGTGGTCGTTAATTTGAGTTTGAGTGAGAGTGGGAGGAAGGTGTGGTGGGGTGGGCGCTTATTAACTTTTTCTGCCTTTAGGATGGGCGCTTATTCAAGGTGGGCGCTAATTCGAGGTTAGGCGCTTATTCGAATAAATACAGTAACTAATTACATCTATAGCCCTTGAAAAATGTAAAAAAGAATACGATGAGGTTTAAATATTCTGGTACAATTTCCTAATGGATTCTGTCTTAATGACTTTCCTGACAGGCCAGAAAGCAAGAAGCGAATGGAAATGCTAACCAAGTAGGAGCCTTCGTAAAATGCACAAAGGGAGCTCCTGATCTATTGCCCACAGTTTGTAATGCAGTTTCCACTGCCGTCTACTTAGTTTGCGCACTTTAGAGGATTGATATCAACCAATAATACACATACATGTATATCTAACTATTAAAACTATACTGTATAAAGCTTTTACATAGTCAAAAGCAAGGAAACAACATTGTTGCTCATACCTCTTCTCCACTGAAAGCATAGGCAGACAAAAGTCCACCAAGAAATCGTATTGTGGTTTCAAACACGGACACGTCTGAAGCCTGTTTAGAGAAATGGCAATGAAAAAAATTAATAATTGGATGAGGTTTTCACGTATAAGTTGCTGATTCAAGTGCCTTAAAATTTAGTCAAGGAAACCAATTCTTAATTAGGAACACTAAGAAAACCCATGTTCAGTTGCGGTGATTATCTTACACATACATGTATGTTAAGATGGGATGATGAGACAAAATATTAAGGGTCTGTCTTCTGGTGTGCAAGTAAACACAATAAAGCAATCACTTCAATTAACCACTGTCCCTGGAATAATTGCCTCTTTTTGGTATGAAAAAAGAAGATTGTGCTTCCGCGATTAAACAACAAGCACCTCTAGAATAGAAAGTTCGAAAATTAATAAGCCTTTCAGAGATTGATTTGCGGTTTAATAAGGTTAAAGGGGAAAATACATAGCTGCTAAGAGCAGGGACAAAAACCTTTTCTTGCAAAAGTAGGAACTGGAATCCTACATAGACTTCCAGATTGACATTTAAAAAACACCATCATCACCAAGTCCACCATGTGGCCAAGTTGAAAACAAACAAACAAACATACATGTACTGTACTTGTAATTGAATTGCCCAAGCAATAGAGAAATTTGTACAGTAAGATTCTTTTGTACTCACATGATTAAAGTGAAGTGATACTGCCACCCACTTCCTTGCACGCTCAAACTCATCTTTCATTCCCATAATGTATAAAGTGTCCAAAGCGTCAACTATTGTAGCACCCATTGAAGAAGCTCCAAATATTGATGCTGAATGCCCCGACTTGCTTATTGGCCGTAACTCATTGGCACCCCATGCGTGATTTACATATCCTGTCCAGGCATGTTCCATCATCTAGTAAGACATTTTAATAACAAAAAGCCAGTTGTATGTTCTAGATAGATAGAAACTTTATTTATGTGTCAAGAAAGAAAAACTAGCCGAGGGGCAGGCCCTCTACTATTAAATAGGGGACACCTACAGTTAAAATATAATAGAGACAATAATTAAGTAGATAAAAAAAATCCATACAATATGTTACAAATTGTTAGCTAAAATACTAAAGCTGAGTACTAAAATGCTAAAATTGTTTCCGATGAGACATCAAGTATCACACAGAAGACATCCTTTGCATCCATCATCAATAAGAGATGTCAGATCCGTATTATACATTCAGTTTCTAAAATCACTTAATGATTTACACGTTTTATCATTTTTGTCCAGCTTGCTCTATAAAATGGGACCTAAATATCGAAGGGAATGCTTACCAAATGAAACTGTGTTCTCCATAGGTTCTTTGGATTTACTGTTAAGCAAATTAATTTACTGCAAATGAACTTATAGCATGCCTCACAGATGTAATTTAACCTTGGTTAGAAACATCTGCGAAGCAGCATCATGAGTCTTGTTCTGGACCTCCAAAGGAATCACCAGAACGAATCACAAACGAATCACCAGAAGAATCACCAGAAGTGTTTTTTGAATTCCTTTGATCTTGATTGAAAAATCGGCAATGATTTTTTTATATCTGACTTTTTGGCGCCTACTCAAATCCTGGGCCCAGTTGTTCGATGGCCGATTAGCACTTAACCCAGGGTTAAATTTAACCCGGGATTCTTTTTCTTTTGTTCAAAAGCATTTCCTGGGACAGTTTTCTCTGATATTCATAGAGCATTGAATCATCAACTTGTAGACAAAAAGAATTAAACTGAATTTACTTTATAAGCTTTCATATTTGAATTCAAATTTTCCACTAACCCTGGGTTATCTTAACCCAGCTTTGAACAACCCAGCCCTGGTGCACAAGTGGGGACCCGGAACAAGGATTTCAGCCCTGTTTCATAGACGGACTTTCCTTTGCAGCACAGGCTAATGTAGTTAAGACCATTTACACTAAGTCAAGGCAGGTAAGCCTTTCAATTCTACAAATTAAAGAATTTTAGAACCTTTTTTAGAGCAAACAGCAAACATGAATAATCCATCACATGACCAAATTATCAATTGCCCTTTTAAACTATACTTGGCTCAGCTGATAACACCTACCTCAGCCTTGATTATTCTGAATATCACAAAAACCTCATCCACCATTGTTTAAAAAAAGTTGTGATTGATGTTGTTAGTCTCACACAAGACATTAGAATCAATCAGCAAAAGCTTAAAAGCACTGTGGCTCTTTTCTTTTTGAAAAGTCAGCAACTAACTAAACCAAGGTTACATCTGGTTTAATGATATATACCAGGTGAGTCAACAATGAAATTTGTTCAGCAGTGACATCAAAGTATTCTAAATATCAAAGCTGAGCATGCAACATCATTAATTATTGCAAAACTTATATTCAGAAGAATAATGACTGAGGCAGTATCAGTACTTGACCCACATTTAATAAGTACAGACTTCTCAAGTAAAATCGTAGCTTATTTTAACCATGTAAGATTAAATTTAATGCAACCAATGAAAACCTGAAACGTGCGTGTACGTCACAAACAAACTAACACTGTTTAATAAAACTTGAATATTCTGGAACGATACATCTTTCTCGACCTGTAAAGGATGACTGGAAAGTAAATAATCTCCTAAACTTTTAAGAGTGAATTGGTGATTAAAATTAAGGTGATCGCTCTTACGTTGAGTTGGGTTACAGGTTGCAGTTTTTCTTCGACTGTCAACATTAATTTAATACCAACAGTGCCGACTAATGATTATGAATACTGAAAACGCGTAACTACATAAAAGCACTAAACTTGTCCACGTACTTATGGCATTAAACAATCAACGTACCTTTTTTATAAAATTTCTTCGTGTCTTAGCTAACTCATCTGAAGGTTCTCCCCCGGTGATTCCCTTTGCTCCGGTCTCGTCCACCTTAGAATTGTTCACTAATTTCTCAATTTTAGCGCGCTTTTCAGCTTCCTTTTGAGATTTCTTCTCTTCTCTAAACTTCTCTTTGTCCTTTCTTATTTTTTCCATTAATTCCTTATGGTTTAAGGACAGTTTTGTCGGAGTTTTCTGAGGTACATTAACTTCAACATTCTGATTTTCAGCTCCTAGATCGTCGGCTTCTCTCTTGTTAGGCAGCGAGGTGGCTTCTTGAGTGGAAACGAAAACACATTAAAGATTAGCGACAAAGGCTGCAAAATAGCGCCTTAAGTTTACTTAAATCAAGTCAAAAAGTCTTTAAGTTGACAAAAATATCAGATATTTACCTTCGACATGCTTCACAATGGGTGTTTTAGGAGGTCTAATGGGCAAAATATCGCCACCGGCACCTACGAATTTTTTGTAAGCGTTCTCCAGGTAAGTCCGGTCTCTCAAGTCTGGGACGAAGAAGAATGCTCCAAAGCATAAAAGAAGAAAAGCTATAAAAATTAACAACAAAACATACTTTTCTCTGAGTCTAAGACCGGATCTATGGACGGGAATTGGCTGAAATCTGCTATGGTGAGTTGGCAAGATCGCCATGATCGAAGATTTAGGCCGCCATCATGGGTAACTCCGCTGACACAATGCTATCAAGGACCCCCATAAGCGCATCATTAACTGGGCTGCCTGTGGCGAGCAGGGCGCCCTGGTAGCGAGCCTAGCTTGTAAATTTCGTCGGGGTGGCGGGGCGGGGGGGGGTATTTCTGGGAAGTCGTAGTGGGGGTATGCTGTCCAGCTCTCCTTAATCTTGACACTATTTCCAGGCCCGTAGCAAGTATAAAATGGCTGGGGGGGCTGAGCGAGTGGCCCACATTAACTCCCCCCGCTCCTGTCCCTCGGTTAAAGTATCGTTCTTGGTACATGTCACATAGCTACATTTGTTTACAATGCCTTTTGTTCTTGTCTCTAATTTTCCGTTTGTGTTGACTTTGAGGAAATAGAGAACTTGTTTGGGATATCGTTCGCAGAAAATTTGCCAAACATTTGCTTTCGGTTTTCTTTCTCCCCAACGAAGTCATTAGCTACGTCTATAAGGGTCAGAGCATCTGTTCTGTCCTTGTGAACATGCAACATCATGAGGTGGTTCAGTCTAGAGTCTCCCGTTGTTGAGCGCAAATACGTCTTCACCCGCTTTAAAATTGAAAACGATCTTTCACTAACGGCATTGGTTGCTGGCTTGACGAGTAACAGCTTTCCCAGAGTAGAAATTTCGCTTAACAGTTTTCTGCGGGAGCTATCAAGGGACTGCAAGAAGGTTACCAAATCATTTCGTTCATTTACACAATTCCAAATTGCACAGAAGAACAACAGTACATAATATTACTATGATCGACAATTCTTTGAAACTTTAGCTTCCACTGACAGCTGTCGATATTAGTAGAAAAATTCCACTGTTGTAGCAGAATTTAATTCAAGTCTGAAAATTTCTGGGGGGGCTCGAGCCCCCCCTGCCCCTCCCCCTGCTACGGGCCTGATTTCAGAGCAATATCTATGAGGTTAATGTAAGAGAGTACCCCCCGGGGATTTACGTCGCCAAAATGAACACTGTCAATTAAAAATAGAATTAAAGTCAAAAAGACTTCTGCAAAGACTGATAAAGCAACGTGAAAAAGGCTGAGGTATGCAATATTTCGACTGGCCAATACCAGTCTTCATCAGGCTTATTAGGAAAAACCACGAATATCCTGACTACTGTAGGCTGATCGGACAGCTGTTATAAAGGTTTACAAATTTATTTGCCCAATATTTGGACTAGACAAAACTAGTCTTCATCAGGGTCTAGAAAAGCTAAGTGAGACGATTACATTTGATTATATAAAATAATAAAAAAATAAAAAATAAAATTTGACTGGTGAGGGAATACAATAGACAAAAACTTGTATAAAGACGGTTACATAAAAAATATATATATATCCTGTATATGTCAATAGATTAAATTTCATCTCGTCTGTTCATCTTATGGGGTTCAAGTAATTTGAGTTTAGATAGTAAAAATCCTTCGTGGGCCTTACGGATACTGTCCCTATCTTAATTAATTAGTTCTAATGGAAAAAGTTCTATGTCCTTGATGAAATCATCTGGAGGGGAGAAGTGGTCTGAAACGGTGGTAGGATGATAAAAGTGATGTGGATTTCTGGCTTTTTCTATGGAGCCGAGTCGGTGCTCTCCAAAACTGTCACTGAGCTGGCGTTTAGTTTCGCCCAGGTATTGCATGTTACATTCGTTGTACTGGATCATGTAAATGAGATTGGAAGATGAACAGGAGATGTGGTGTCGGATGCGTCGTTGTTCGACCAGGTAAAGGAGAAGGTTTAAGACGTGGTTCCTTCTGTAAAAAGGACACGTCTTCCACCTACTTCTGTTACAGCAAAAGCTCCAGGTGTTTTGGGGGGGTGGTCTGCGGTTTTTGGCTCTGACTAGGATGTCAAGTAGATTATTGCAACGGCGGTTGGGTATAAGAGGAGGAGAAGGAAGTGCTTCTTTGCATCGTTGTGAAGAATGAAGGATGTTAAGATTGCCAGAAATATTATGGTTTATGTTGGGAAGAGCTGGATTGAATGTTACTACAAATGGTACTCTGTCAGATTCCTGTCTTGTGGATGTTTTGAGGGCTTGGCTGCTTGATTGGAATAAAGCGTACTTTGTTTATTTCTTGCTGGCTGAGACAGTGTTTATATCCTCAGTTAATGAGATGTGTGGTGAGTGCGTTGAGACGTTTGTTAAAGAAATCATCTTTCGAGCAAATTCTTCTTAGTCGCAATGCAATGCTGAAAGGGATCGATTTTTTAGTGTGGGATGGATGGGATGGATTGAGGAGGTATTGGTGCTTGTCTGTAGGCTTGACATAAAGGTCGGTTGACATAAAGGTCGGTTTGTAGTTTGTCGTTGATTAGTAGAACGTTGACATCAAGGAAAGGGATTTTAGATTGAGAAAACGAACTAGTGAATTTGATTGTGGGATGTAGGTTGTTTAGGTACGTGATGAATTCATGTAATTAATCCTCGCCATGTGACCACTAGTAGAAGGAAGATGTCGTCAATACTGCACGCCACCAGATAAGGGGGGAGTGGGTTGCACCGGGTAGAGCTAGTTCTTCAAACTTCCCCATGAAGAAATAGGCGTAGGAGGGAGCCATTTTGAGGCCCATCGCAGTTCCATTAACCTGTCGGTAGTGTTGTCCGTTGAAAATGAAAGTGTTATGTGTGAGGATCATACAGATGGTATCAAAGAGTCTGGTTGTCTGAATAGAGGGATTTATACGACTGTCGAGAAATTCGCTGCAGGCTTGGATTCCGTCCTTGTGAGGTATGTTGGTATAAAGTGAAGATACATCAAGGGTAATCAGTAGAACACCGTCTGGTGATTAGCCGATATTATTGAGTTTTTTGTTGGTAGTGTAGGAGGGGAGTTTGGTAACTAGCGGTTGAAGATGGAAGTCGATGAACAGTGAGATTCATTCTGTGGGGTGACTGATGTTAGATACTACTGGACGGCCGGGGTTACCAGGTTTGTGTATTTTTGGGATAGTGTAAAAACGTCCTGGCTTGGGAGAGTTTTTTTGCAAGGTATTTTGCTGTCTCTTCGTCGACCCTGTTTTTGTTGTTTCAGTTTGCAACGATCTGCTTGATATAATTGAGGATTGTGATGGCGAAATTCACATGTATGCTGACGACACTACGATTCACGTGGCTTCGTCTTCTCCTTATTTCAAGAGAGGATAAAGGGGACAGAGAGGGCATCCCCCATACACACCCTATTCCATAGGTAATTCGTCTCGAGTTGTTTTTAGAATCGGGATAAAGTTACCTCGCGCTGCGTGGATGTTTCGTGGAGGTTTCTCATGACTAAACGCCGTGCAAAACATGTCGGGCGAAAGGCAATGAAAGCGTAGAGAGATCGAGAGCATTCCTGAATATTGTTATAGAATAGTTTATTAAAACTCTCTTGCAGTAAAAAGAACTGAATTATCGAGTACATTTTACAATCATAAGGTAACTATTATCTAGAGTATAGTAATTACAGTTATAACAATGAAAATAACAATTGAATCTCTTAAAAAACTTAAAAGGAAAGAAGTCCTCCACTCTCTTTGTCCTACAGACCTGCATGTTCCGGAAAAGATAATACTTTTGTGTTTTCTGCCTTAAGTTACAAGTAGTTAGGCGCGTCCAGAAGTGGGCTGGGAATTAGGTGGTGCAGAGGGTGGCTGGGGGACTTCATTTTCGCACAAGGGTACTCTTCTATCATCTAACCTATCTAGTTTACCTAACTGTAAGGCATGAGCATATGACTCTGCCTCGGGGTAGATTATGTTAAGCGCCCTTTTTTGCACTCGCTCTATAGCTTCGGACAGATAAGCAGGGATGTTCTGCCAGACTGGTACAGCATACTCTAAAACTGGCCGGACTGTGCTAAGGTATATCCTCAAGATGTTGGGTTGGCTCACCCTGGCTCTTGAAGCGAAATGAGTCGGCGCTCACTTAGGAAAAGGGAATCGCTGGACTCCTTGGCAACCCGTGAAATCAGTTCAACTCGAAGTTGTCGTAACCTCAGTGCTTTAATAAAATGAGAAATTTCGCAGGTCTATTGAAACCGGTCGTTTGTCGGAGAGCTTTAGCATCGACGATGGCAACGGCAGCCAAAACGTCAGATTTAAAATGCACTCCCGTTGTTTCAATCTTTGTTGCGTTTATTCCAATTTGCTGAAAATGGCAATTGTAGGCGAATTTCTCTGGAATTGATCTCTTGAGGACCGCACTCAAGTTTAGAGAGAGAAAAAGAGATTCGTCGTCGCTTGCTTACGCACAGGCCGCCCAGACGTTGTATGTGTCAAATGAATATAATAATATTCACATGGACAAAATAGGATGAGTTGTCGAAACTCCCATGAACTAAAATAGTCCAAAAGTCAAAATATCACAAAACAAAGCTAAGATACCTTTAACTGAACGTCTCCTTCTTCTTCCTGGCCGGTTAAAGTGGCATTTTGTTGAGTTTTTCAATCGTAGGTACTATCCACTAAAGAATAATTAAAGGCTAGCTACAAATTGCCATCGGCTAATCTGCAGGTAACGTTTGCTCCTACTTATTGCTCGCTGGCTCCACAAAACCCATCGCAACTGCACAATAATCGCTCGCTCATCAACAAACACTGTTACCTTTAAGCTTCGATATGACCCCAAACTACCAGGTTTAATACGCGACGTGAATATTCAAGCTTAGCGACCACGTCCGCGTAACAATGCGACACTTGCTATGGGAGGGATGCTACTATTGCTTCTAGGTCAATCAACACTGAGCGAAGGTCCGCTGCGTTAGTTTTGACCAGAAAGCAAAAGGCGATCGTGCGACCGTCTGTAAGTTTTCAACAGGGCGGCCCTGGTTTTCATTCGAATTCTTCTAACGTTCACTGTCACATTGTCCGTCCAGCAGCTTGCATACGTTCTTGACTTAGGGCGGATCCAGGGGGAGGGTGCAGGGGGTGCGCACCCCCCCCCCCGCTTTCTAATTAACATTGTGCAGTCGCTTGACAGACATACAAAATCTGCTCTATCGTTTGATATGTATTCTCAGCAGT